GGACACAATCACAACATGACCGGGACACAATCACATGAAACATGACCGGGACACCATCACAACATGACCGGGACACCATCAAAACATGACCGGGACACCGTCCAGGACCGGGACACCATCACAACATGACTGGGACACAATCAAAACATGATCGGGACACCATCACAACATGACCGCGCCATCACATGATCGGGACACCATCAAAACCTGACCAGGACACCGTCACAACACTGACCGGGACAACAACCGTAACTGCCCACCTCTGTCCGCCCTGTCTATCCACCATGACACGCCGCGCTTACACCAGCAGGCTTTCCTTCCCACAATGGCACGGACTCACGCAAACGCACTTGCCACCGAGGTCATGCAACACCGCATGGCACAGCGACATCACCTTTCGAAAGCTTTAGCTGTTAGTCTCCTGAATAATCGCTATTCTAATGAAGGTTTTTGTAGGGGAAAAGGAAGACCCTTCGATCTGGAGGTTTTTTGCATTTTTGATACGAGTTTAATAAAGGGTTTTATATAAAATTTTCCTGGCTTAGGGGGGGGCGTGTTTTTTAATAGGTGGACCGGATTAATAAGAACCCCATAGCTGTCACTATCTGGCGAAAAAAATCCTCCCCACCAGGCACACAGCCAGCGCCCAGCACCGGCATCCGGCACCCTGTCTCCACCACGCGCACAGCCAGCGCTCAGCACCGGCATCCGGCACCCTGTCTCCACCACGCGCACGGCCAGCTGACAGCACCGACACCCTGTCTCCACCACGTGCACACCCGGCACCCGGCAGGCACCCGGCAAGCACCAGCAACCTGTCTCCACCGCGTGCGCAGCCAGCCCACAGCACCGGCACCCGGCACCCAGCACCGGCGCCCGGCACCCAGCACCAGCACCAGCAATTTGTCTCCACCACATGCGCAGCCAGCTCACAGCACCAGCCCACCCAGCACCCGGCACCCGGCACCAGCACCAGCAACCTGTCTCCACCACGTGCACAGCCAGCCCACGGCACCAGCACCGGCACCCGGCACCCAGCACCAGCAACCTGTCTCCACCACGTGCACAGCCAGCTCACAGCACCAGCACCGGCAACAGCAACCTGTCTCCACCGCGTGCACAGCCAGCTCACAGCATCAGCACCGGCACCCAGCACCAGCAACCTGTCTCGAAAGCCCGCGCGGGCAACTCATTTTTATTTGAAGTAAGAACCCCATAGCTTCGCGATCTGGTGAAAAACAAGCTCCCTCTAGAACCCCTGCCACTTGGAGAGTTCTTTCTTGCTCTTCTAGAAAAGGGTCTTACCCAACATGAAAGGAAGAGAGGCGCGTTTATCATTTTATAATGACCATGGTGGACGCAGGGGCTGTGGCCCACAGGTGGCCACCACAAGAACTCACTGTCCAACCATATTGTAAAATCAAATCAGTTCAACCTTGAAATTGACCCTCACGCGTTAAAGACTCAACCTCAACCTTGGATGTTTCTCGAGTGTTTGTCCAAATTGCGGAATCATTTTCATGAGGAAAATAGTTTCAGCGCTCAAACCGCTGAGCTGAACCATTTTGTAAAGAACAGATCCTCAGCACGGCAAAGGTTGAGGTAGTGCAGCAACCTCCTGGCAGAGGTTGGTTAAGCCATGTATATGCCATCTATCTATATGCCAATGCGGTTGCATGTGGATCCTTTCCAAAGAGCATCTGGCTCTTAAGTGTGCTTGTTTAACAATCACCATTGACCCACCCAATCACCCTAGAGAGTGAATAGAATATATGTGGAGATTCACTCTCTGCAGCTCCCGGCCGCTTTGCTTCTTTCTTGCTCAAGCGGATGCTGCGTTCAAATCACCCCAACACAGACCTTGGAAGCTTGGCTGCAAATCAACGGAACATATCAGGATTATCAGAGCTATGCTCTGTAAATCACGTCAGTGGTTTTTCAACCACTTCTGGACCTCCTTGCTCTCAGGCGGACCATACTTCGATGCCCACCTGGAACAACAAAGAATTAAGTGAGTCTATTTAACTTTAAACACTGAAAC